ATTTCTTTTTAATAATAGAGCAGAATAGTCCATCAGATTATCATGCATTATCATGGAGTAAAACGTTTCCAAAAGATGTGAATGCTGATAATGATCTCAGGTAGACAGGAATTGTCATTTACCAATATCATTGATCTATTCTGAATGAAGTCTTTCTAAACATATTGACTTGTCTATACATTAGCATAACAGTTTTAGAGGACAAGCAGCTTAGCCTAGTAGATGTTCTTATCATTATAATATTAAATTGATCTAAGGTATAAGTAACTCAAACCTTCCGCATCTACTTAGTGACAGTTCATAGCGCATGACATTCCTGATTAAGAATGTAAGACAATAACTGTCACCACTAACATACTTCTAGGAAACTGTACGTTATTTTTTAAAACGTAAAATCTTTACCATAGAGGCGCTTAGATAAACACTAACTTACGGATTACAATTAATCGTACGAGAATCAATCAGTCGGTTTGTAGACACCTTAAGATAAGTGCAAACCTAGACAATCTATACAATAATCTCTTTTAGTGTGCATATACAGCTTAGCAACAATATCTAGTATTCTCAAACTGTCATTTATATTTTACAGCTTTATATATGAGTGCATGCTATTTAGTGATATTTCTGATATCTAATATCACCTAACTTAATAAAATTAATGGTTTATTTACTAATTTTATTCTGGTTTACTATATTTCGTTGACTTCCTGTAATTGTGATCTTCAAATTATGATTATTATTACTATTTTTCGGGGCCCGGGGTTCGAACCCCGGCTGACGCACTCCTTTACCTCGCTAAGCCAGAAATAATGCTGGTGAAGAGGGAAGGTTGGGCATGAGGCTAGCAACCCCATCCTGTAAAACAAACACTGCTAGAGAAACTTCAAGCCAACTAGCTTGAAGCCTTATGTTCCACTGGGGAACGTGAAGGAAAAAAAAATTCTGGTCTACTACTACAACACTACTGCCTACCTGAAGTCTTTATCAACTTTATTCAACAGTTGGTTATACGACAATGAGGCCACGTGTCAGGTGATCCACAACGGAAAACTCAGCGAGACGACTGAAGTAAATACAGGAGTAAGACTAGATTGGCTGACTGTTATTATCCACGATGATATTCTTGACTGTGGTCGACTGAATTATGCGCTAGATTAAGCACTCGGAGTGAGAAGAGAGCTGGATCACTGATAAGAAGAGTCTAGAAGATCTGGATTTCGTTGATGATACATGTCTAATGCCACACAAACTCGAAGACTTACAGGCAAATACCAACAAACTGACTGAAGTAGCTGACAGGCTGCGAAGACAGGACCCCAGGTGAAAACAAAAAAGAGGCAGTTGATGAAGATAACCAATGAACCGCAACAACAACAACAGCCAGCACCAATCACCACCAACCGGAAAGATTTCACGCAGACTACCTCCTTCACTTATCTAGGAAGCATCGTTTCAGCCACAGGTGAATGGCACCGATGAAGACGTCGAAACCGACTAGCTAGAATCGGGAATGTGAGGCAAGATACGCCTTCATCAACCTGAAACCAGTTTGAAAATCTTCTGCACTAAGTCAGCAAGCATAAAGAATAAGATTTGGATTTTCAACACAGACGTGAAGTCAGTCAGTCAGTTCTTCTATACGGATCAGACTACACTGGGTGTAACGAAAATGATTTTCAACAAGTCGCTGATTTTCATCAACAACTGCCTTCGCTGGCTGCAAACTAAAGATCAAATGGCTGACCAGAAAGAATAATTAACAAGAAACTCTGGGAAAAGACAAACCAGGAGCCGACCACTCAACAAATCAGATGGCTCTCCGTTTTCTATCAAATGACATTAAGATTATAAAATGTCCAAAATATTGATTATTCTCAACCATACAGGAATAATCATGTTCTGGTGGTGTGATACAGACAATGTGTTTCATCTGAATATTATTCTCACATATTTAGACAAACAATAAGGAATCTGAAACATCCATACTGAGAGGGATCCTCAGAAACATTTCGTGGAGTTCTTAACAATGTAGAGATTAAAGTGGTATTCAGACTCATAAACTCATTTGGAATCAGTTTATGTGGGTGAAGTAATCTTTTGTTGGAAGGCGTTGAGCAGAATAATTTAGTTTATCTGCCCGCAATTTTTGTGGCATCAGTTATGTATTTCAACACTGTGGGACAGGGCGTATCCTGTTGGCGTAGCACAAAACTTTATAAATTCTGGAATATTAGTTGACCTTCATGATATAGTGAGAAATCTGGTTAATACTTCTGTTATACTTTTCACTTCCTACAATTATGCGGAACGATGTGCACACATAATGATGGATGGGATGAGATGAGAGTCTTGAAATCTGACATTTATTCGAACTTATTTATGTAGAGCGGGTAGGAGCATTTTGACTAGCATCCCCCTATATCTGGAGGATTTTGATCCGCTTTCTACCAACTGGTATGATTGGATTTGTGATCATTATTATTATATTATTATTGTAGTTGTCGAAATTATGGCTATCTTTCATGAATAGCATTAACCTATATCGTTTCATTATTACCTTTAGTCACACAATTTTAGAGATCGTCTCTGATATTCAGTGCTTTAATCTGATGACATTTTAGAAGGCATTAGTCACTAAAACCACCAACTTGTACTAGTATTTTCTGATTCCATACTGCCTGCTCTAGGTTAAAATAAAACGACAGGCTTCTGATAAGTGTCAGCAAGCACGGAAACTATTCCGTGCAGATATTCCCCTAAAAATTGACAGCAAAACAAAAGTAAACAAAAGTTTTTTGTACTTCTGTATAACGCGCATTCTAAACTTTTATTTTACTTCCACACAGTCGCTTAGCATTCAATCCAAGGTTTTTTGGCTTTCATTACTAGTTAATACAGCCTACATTTCTATACTGTAGGAGCAAAACATTGAGTAAGATAACATGATTTCATTTCTTTTTGATTGTTCATGTCATCTGCATACACACACTTGAATTATTAATTTAAAACATGTTCAACATTGTGATACCACATACAATCAAATTCCCAGTTAGGAAACTAATTGATGATTTGCGATGTAAACAGTTTAAGGTAGATCTTTCGTCACAAATGACTTCATATGATCTGTTTGATGGCCTACATGACAAACAAGGAAGCAAGCACTGGATACCACTTACGTCAATTAGAAGTGTTAGCCAGCTAGCTGGGCAGTTCATGGTGATAGAAAGAAGGAATGACCAGTTGATTTGAATTCCGTCCAACTACTCATATATGCGTATCAGTAGTACACAGCACTATGTTAGCTTTATTGATTGCCATTTTACATAATTTAATACACACAGAGTTAAAAATAACTACAAGCGTCAGTAAGCTTGCCGATTTATATTAGAAAATTTCCAATTACGTGGTTTTAATGTTTGACAATTAAATCATTAAGGTACATAAATACTTTAGTATTTGTTCCAAGTTATATTACGGATCGATTCCATAGGGGAGCGAACACAGGACCTTCAGGTTACTAGACGAAACTGTCGGTAATTCAACAACTGGGATATAATCAAATCGACTGTTAGTTCTCGCTCATAATTTCTGCCAATAGTTGGAAATTAACCTGATGCTCATTATTAATTCACTGTTAAATAAAAATGTCTGGGATTCTGGTGAGAAGTCGTGGTTAGTGTTGTCCGCCAAGCCAGAAGTGAGAGCACATAGTGACCGCAAATGCTAACTTGGGGTTTCGGTAATATATATATGTATATTTATGAATTCGCAGAAAATACATTTTATGGTAAGGCGGTTAAATCCTCAGTGGGCTTGTACCTAGTGCATTTAAGGTCCTGAGTTCGATCACCGATGAGATTTCAGCCACTTATTTTTGAAGAGTCCCAAAATGATACGAAACAACTTCTGAGTATCCCCTGGTATTCATTGGTTTTCTACCTGTTGTCAATCTGTGATTAAACTTGAAGCCGATCAAACCCCTGCCAACCAAAATTTGAAATTATTTCAGTGTTTATGATCACATTTCGAAATGATGTGTGCTAGTTTCATGACTTGGTGGAAAGTTGACAGTTTTCGGACGCCCCATTTGTATGATGGACAACTGACAGAAAAATATCAGAAGTATTTCGCTCCAAATGGAGATATTCGTTCATGCTTATAAGAACCAAACTGACTGAATGACTGGTTTCAACATAAAACTTTGCAAAGATGTGCAGCAAATCAAGTTGCCACACCCCCTCTATGTAGCACACAAAGCAAGAGAAGACAGTAAAGACAGATAATCAACAGAAGTATGACGGGTGAAAGAATGGTAATATGGAAGAACAATAGTTTTATTGGATAAGAGTGAATACATATATACTATTGAGAACAATTTTTAGCCATATCATCGATTGTCTCCAGCTTCTGGTTTTTACCATCTCGAGGACCCCAACCAGCCAGGAGGTCAACGCCCCTGCTACGTGGGTAACTTAAACTATTTGTCATGGATTTCATTGACTGATGAAGACATGTTTCGATTTGACCACCATCACTGGCTCTTTTACAACCTGATCCATCCTATGTCAGTCAGTTAACATTGCCTGTCGAGGAAGGAGATGGATAGGCATACGTAACACATGTCCTAACCATCTCAATCGATGTATGAGAGACGCCTTATTAATACAAGACACTTTTACCCTTCGTTAGAGAAACTTAGATTAGGGTTTAAATACATACATAGAAGATAAAATGTGATTACGGTTCAGTGGAAGACAACTCGCTTGCTGCGAATATGGTCTTAGGATTATTTCTCTCCTCCAACGTATTCTAAATAACTGCTCAAGGTGTAATAGTTCCGGTAGAGAGTAAGGTAGGCCGTTAAACCAACAACCTCATATCGTGAAAATAAAACTACTACTACCTTAACTTCAAAAGCTGAAGCGTGAGCCCAGTCCAAACTCAAAAAAATATAATACAATATATATAGTAATAAATAAAAAGGCAATCAGGATACTTACCACTTTTGGAGACTCCTGTAACTTGATTTTCAGGTTTGTAAGCATTATGCTGATTTAATATCACATTCTCTACTAGACTCTGCATATTAGTGTTACTATTACTGTTTGCCATTTGTGATTGTTTTTGCTGCTGATTTAACAAACTCTGGATTTTTGTATCTTGAAGATGCAATTTCACTAAATATTGATACCAAGGATTATTAAAGATTGAATCCTCACTGGTTAAAGATCTTTGTGGTTCATTAGGATTTGTAGTTGACTCTAACATGGAGGAAGGCGTTGAATTCATTGCCATTTGAGCGAGATTTTTAGCTATTTCACTTAACTCAGGATGTTGGGATTCAAGGTAGTGTAAATTTGCTTCCAAGTTATTGGAAGATGCATTTTCTGAAATTTTATCCATGAGCTATGCTCTGCTTATGGTGAGTTTCAAGAAATTTGATTTGAACAATTAAAAATATTCAATCCACAAATTATTGTTTTTTGGCTTACGTTAGAACGTTTTCAAATTATGAATTTATCCATTTTTAGCAAAATTGACTGAACGCGAGGTAACCAATCATATTCAATGTAGAACTTTTAGCCTTGACCTCACAATCCGATTGGCGTTTATTAACTAAATAGCTAAAATTTGGTTGGTATTAGGTGGAATGATTTTTGAAGGCAGACAGCCAGTAATCTCCATCGTTTTCAAGTGTTGGCTTCTTGCGAAGATTTGATTGGTTACACGTGTGGTCATGAGTTGACATCAGTTAGGAAACTGGACAGCTGTTTCGTCTTAGTTTGAGACTCTTCAATAGAACTCAGACAATCCTACCAGGGATCAAATGATGGGTCTAAATGTTAGGGGGCAGGAATTCATCGATCCGGGAATCCTAGTGTCTGTCAATTCGTGATATATCCCTGCCCCCAACCAGTGCTTTCAATGAGCATTCACTTCACCTTGACATGGTAGACGTCATTCGTTACAACTTCTCAAAACAACTTTAGGACATCTATACAGTAGCCATCAGTCAGCTAGACAGTGATAATGGGATCGTTGATTTTATAGGGATTTGGATGAATTTCAATGTAGATTTCATTATGGGTGCCCACTGGTGAAGAGTACAACAATGCGACAAAATTGAAAAGCAGTACTCTATGGTTTTTCAGTGTTCCTCTATCTGGTTTCAGCTCGTAACCAAACACTTAATGACCTCACGTTGTTATTCATAATGTCAGTCATTCCACATACACTTTTTAAATTGTTTAGTTTACGTAGTGTGGTGCTCCCTAGATGTAAATAATGTAATCATAATACGTATAGGAATGAAAGTGATGATTCTTCTTTCAAAAGAGTTTAAGGTAAAGCAAATGACCCCAACACTTAGAAAACGGACGCGAAAATGTATACTCAAGGGACAAATATTTAAAAACATTTCTTTAATGTGGTCAGCTGTGGTTTAATTATTCAAGTTGTTCGATTACTAATAAGAAGTTTTCATAACCAGACTACACCTTTTCACTTGTACGGGTACAGCTGATATGAGTATGATTCGTTACCGCGTTACGAAACTATGGAAAGCTGAACTTGATTTGTTCCAGGATTACAGAACTATATCTCTAAAACATATTTGAATTCATGAGCTGGCCTGTGGATCGGGTCCCAGTGGCTCAATGGTCTATGAGCTCGCCTAGTACCCAGAAGGTCCTGAGTTCTAATCCCGGTGGGTGAGCACTACTGAAGTGTCCCAAACTAGGACGAAACAGCTGTCCAGTACTCCCAGGTTTTCCAGTGGTTCTCTAACTGCTGTCAGCTCATAATGAAATCCTTCATGCAATATTTGGAAAACTTGCTTGTGTGCAAATGGCATCTGAGCATCAAATAGGGAACTGGTCTGTCTAATTTGCAGACGGTTAAATATGTGTAAATCGGAATGTTAACTGCTCATTATTACATAATCGTGCTATTTCAACGGTGTACACTCAAATGATGCTGACTAGGAAATAATAGAATGGAATGCTTATAACTGAGGATGAAGATCATTTGATGCTCTCTAGGCAGCGATATTGTCTCCCCATCTTCATAGCCTAACTTCGAGAGAGTAATCACAGCTGATTTCAAATTAGGTTATTAGAAGATCTTCAGAGGATTATCCTGTAAATTTACCAGAAGTAAATTACAGTTTGTACCATCCAAACATGAGTGCCCTCTTTGTTCCATGGTTTACAGTTCTCATAATCTGGAATTTATGTTCTCTGTATAAATTAAAACACCACTAAGAAGAGCTAAGGGTTGATGCTTCCGTACATGTCCGAACACTCCCGTCAATAATCCGAGGGCAAAATGAAAATTAAATTTAAAATGAATAATAACCGATGCTCGTCAGGTGGCCCTTCATATCCCAAGTGGTCTAGTGGATAACGTTTTGGTGCTAAACAGGGCTTGCTGGATTCGAACCTCATTAAGAACACCATCACTGTCTGGAATTGCAGGTACATCCAGACGACGAGTCCAAAATGGGACGAGATGCGGATTCTAGATTCCACTGCTAGTCAGTGCTCAGACACTATCGAAGCATTCGCACCGGGAGTCAACATTTCAATAGAGACTGCACATTTCTGTCTAATTATTCAACGGGAAAAATCGATATTGGATTAAAAACAAACAAGGGTTATTTGGTTCACTAAAGTTATGAGTGCAATTCTGAGTTGAAGTTCGTTCAAATATGTTCTATGTTATAGATAGCGATTTCCAGTAAGGTATTGAAATATTTGCAGTGAACTGGTGGATGGTGACTAGCAGTGGAATCTAGGAGTGCGTGCATTTAGTCCCATTTAGGATTCGTCATCTGGATGTACCTGGATTCCCCAAATGAGTGATGGTGTTCCCACCGGGGCTCGAACCCAAATGAAATATTGTTTACATTTCTCTGTGTTACTGATATCAGGAGACACGTGTGTCTCCACGATACACCATCGAGGTCACATAGTAAGTATGGATGCAAGTGAATTAAGCTTGTCTGCGGGTATGCACACTCAGTCATAATATTAACAATAACAATCAAAGATCACTGCAGTAGATCGCACTGATGAAAGATTTAAGTATGAAAACGCAAATATGTTTTATGCATATCTAATGAACTACTTTTGATTCCGTTAAAAGTATGCATATATTGATATTCATCATAATGAAAAACATTTCAGGACTCAAGAGTGATTCTGTTAGTTTTTTTAAATCATTGAGCAAAATTCCAAAAATCACACAGAACGTTTCATATCAGAAATAATTCACACTCGATGGAATCAAAATTACCTGAACAGGAATGACAGATTAAGAAAGAATTTCACTCAGTTCCAATATACCTTATCCCTATGGAGTAACGGAAATTATCACAAACATGATAAGCATTTGTAAACATACTAATTAACTTCACATATTTAATAAATAGAACGACCTGCACATGGTATGTTATCTTTACCAAGTATCCGCTTCATCATGTAAAGAATTGTTCTAATTCTCGCAAAATATTGCTTTGATAACGTTATCAGCAAATTTCGAGTTTGACCACGGATTGATATCAGTTAGAGAACCATTGAAAACAAACCAGGGAGTAATGGATAGCTGTTTCATCCTAGTTTGCGTCTCATTGGCATTACGTACACACCACCACAGTTCGAAACCAGGAGATTCCGGTTACAACGCAAGCTCGTACAACCATTCAGCCACCGGGACCCGACTCAATGGCCAGTCCATGAATTCTAACTTCTACTAATTCATGATTATTAGCGCGACTACCAACCAATGTCACCAGTAGGAACTCCATCCTCACTCCCTACTGGGTGGACCTTACTGGTCAAAATTTTTCACTATAACTCCAGGAAACTCAGTCCTGTAGGAAGTCACTAGCGAGCATCAGATCAATTTTCAAGAGTTGTTTTGTAAGGATTTGATTTGTTTTTCGAGTTTCACCACGGATTTTTATCAGCTAGAGAACTGTCGGCATACTGCCTATGATTCCCAAACTAGGATGAAACAGCTGTCCAGTACTCCCTGGTTGGTTTTCAGTGGTTCTCTTACTTTTATCGATCCCTGGTCAAACTCGAAAAACGAATCTATTCTTTATAAAACATCTTTTGAAGGCTATTAGCATTAAATATGGAGACGTCAGTAAAAACAACATTGTCGATTTATTTTTAATTCATTGGGGGATACAAAATTACCTAGAAGTAGTATGTGGAAGATCTCGGCATAGAAAAAGTAAGTAATTCCACACTAAATTGTTAACTGGATATCCCTTTCTGTGAAACATTATTATGTACGGGATGAAATTTCGAACACAATTTAGTTTTCATAATCATATCAGTCGTAATAACGATACTACTTGCAAACTTTAGGTTTATAGTTCCTTTTATTCCTTACCTGTTCATTTTAAAATCAAAAAGTCACAGCAGGTCGATCGCTGACGAGATCTCCGTACTGATGCAGAAGGCTGGTTTGGCACACGCCAACTTAAACCATCTCCAGCGCAGACGTGATATTCAACTGTTGACCAAAGGGCATGTATGCTGCTAGGCAGTTCACTCCCTCCTCCTCTATGGCTGTGAGTGAGATATGGCCACTGCAATTGGGAGGCATAGAAAGGCAGGCTAGCTGTCTTTGATCATAGGCACCCACGCTCTCCCGTGTTAGCTGATATAATAGGGTGAGTAATATTGAGGTTAGGTGTTGAGTGCTAGGTAAGGTAGGAAAATCAGTTGATGTGGTCTTGAAGGTACATCGTATGAGATGGTTGGGACATTCTGCGTTACGCATGTCTATCTGTCGTCTACCTGGAAAAAAGGCAATGTTAGCTGACATAGTATACATCAGGTTGGAAAAGAGCTAGTGGTGGTGGTCGAACCAAAACATGGCTTCATCAGTCCATGGAATCCACAGCAGTTGGTTTAAGTCAGCCAGTCACATTGGGAGGTGTAAACCTCTTGGTTGGGGTCCTTTAAATTCTAAGATTCAGTGGTGAGTGTAGACAAATTTTGATATGTTTAGAAATCGTTCTCAGTGACGCAGATGTATTTATTCTTTGTGATTTATAACATCCAATAAAACTCTTTTTTACCATATAACTATTCTTTTTGCTTCACTCACACTTCTGTTAATTATCTCTCTCATTTAAAAATCTCTTTACCCTCTTCTTTTGCTTTGCGTGTTAAATGTAGGGAGTGAGGCAACTTGAAATGCTGCATATCTGTGCAAAGTTCTACTCTGTCAGTATAAGGACAATAGAATTTTCCGCATGTCCGTGATACGTTTTGAATCATTCCAACACACTATGCGGATTTTCAATCGATTTGATATCAGATTTTAAGACTGTCATCTCATCATATCCATCCTATTGTATGTATATAGTTTGGTGTAATTGCATG